ACTGCGTGAGCCTCTGAATTACCCTTATGGATCCTTTGTCTCTTGAAGATTTGTTTATCCCACGGTTTCTGCATTTCACACATTACCTAAGACCCCTAGTTTATGAGTACTACCAAGCAATCACTTAGATAGAGCGCAATGTGATTCTCCATTAAGTAAATAAGTATCCTTTTTTTTCTTTGGAAATGACTCTTGATTTGAGTTACGATTAATGCTGGCATTATGGGTTGGGTTAAGCTTAGATAACTTCAGCCCTGTGATCTTCTGGGACACTTTCAAGGTTCACATTTATCGTTAAGTAGTTCTAACAATTCTTTGGATGACACGAAATGGAAATGTTTATAGAACATAGACGCAACCTTCTATTTGAATTACACTTGATTACTTAGTGCTTTCCTTCTTTCATGCCTAGTGAATATGTATAACCACTTGTATTCCACTTTTAAATTCCTTCAATATCTGGAACAGATATGGCTTCGTATAACAACACAGAGGTAGTAAAGAGGGGATTAAAGGACAGAGAGAATGAGGAAGACAAGAAAGATGAAGAAAAGGGTGGATTTATTGAAAAGGTTAAGGATTTCATCCACGATATTGGTGAGAAAATTGAGGAAGCAATAGGGTTTGGGAAGCCAACCGCAGATGTCACCGGGATCCATATTCCTCACATCGATCTTGAAAAGGCAGATATAGTTGTGGATGTCCTTGTGACGAACCCTAATCCTATTCATATCCCTCTCATTGACATAAACTACTTAATTGAGAGTGACGGGAGGAAATTGGTATCTGGCTTGATTCTCGATGTCGGGACGATTCATGCACAGGGTTCTGAGACTGTCAAGATACCAGTTTGTCTAATATATGACGATATCAAGAGCACGTATGACGACGTAAAGCCTGGAAGCATTATTCCATACAGAATCAAGGTTGATCTCATAGTTGATGTTCCAGTTTTTGGAAGGCTTACTTTACCACTTGAGAAGACTGGAGAGATCCCCATTCCTTACAAGCCAGATATCGATGTTGAGAAAATTAAATTCGAGAAGTTCTCTTTTGAAGAAACTATTGCAAATCTTCATTTGAAATTGGAAAACAAGAATGATTTTGACCTGGGGCTTAATGCACTTGACTATGAGGTTTGGCCGTGTGATGTGAGCATTGGTGGTGCTGAACTCACAAAATCTGCGATACTTGAGAAGAATGGGATCACCTATATTGACGTTCCCATCACCTTTAGGCCCAAGGACTGTGGTTCTGCTCTTTGGGACATGATCAGAGGAAGAGGTGCTGGCTGTCTCCATGAAAGGAAACATTGACGTTGACACACCTTTTGGAGCAATGAAGTTACCCATCAGCAAGGAGGGTGGCACAACTCGTCTTAATAAGAAGAAGGAAGACAGAGATGAAGACGAGGACGAGGTACACTATGTTACTTTATCGTGCCCTTTCTCACTTTAATCTTTCTATTACTGGTATTAATTTGTAATTTTATTTATTTTTTTGGTTGTATATGAAAAATTGCATGAGCTGATAATGTGTTACAATTATTAACTGACCATTCTGAATCCACATTTTATCTACTTGCTGTCAAAATACAAGATCGTGTGTTGTTTGTATATTTTCCTTGCCTGAAGTGTGCAAAAATTTCAAAATTGTTTCATGTAATTAAACTGATTTTCTTTAGTAGCATGTATGCAGAATTGACAAGTACTTCATATCTGCTAAAGTATTTTCTCTACTAGCACGAGTGCAACAGTTCCTACTCTTCTAACCCTGTCACCAGATACAAGTTAGATGACATAAATTTAATTGGTGACAGTCGTGAGGTGGTAGTCCCAAGTGTACGTTGGTGGTGGTGACAGATTATTTGGTTGTTTGTGACTATTAAATTGTTTAATTTGTGATCAATAAATAATATTCTACCAATGAAAAAGATAAATTGTGACAAAAAAAATGTGTCATGACCTAAAAAATTGTTAATTTGTGACCGATAATTTGATAATTTGTGACCTATAAATAAATTGTGACGTTTCAATTTTTGATTTGTGACCAATGAACAAATCGTGATCTATAAAATTTTTGAATTGTGACGTTAAAATAATTTGTGATATATAAAACTTGTTATTTGTGACCAATGAATAATGTGTGACTTATTAATTTTATAAATTTGTGATCGATGAAATAGTTGTGACCTATAAAATTTTCGATTTGTGATTGTGAAATAATTTGTGACTTATAAAATTTTTTAATGTGACTGAGAAATAATTTGTGCCCAAATTATATGGAACTGTGACCTTAATATATTTAATTAATAAAATAAATGCTTAATTAATTAATTTATAAATAAAATTTAAAAAAATCTAACATTTGGAATTTTAACCTTAGATTCTTAAATTTGAAATGGGGGAAAAACTCTTATTTATGAATTTTTCTCTTGCTTATATGCCAGGTAGAAGTCCAATTAAAGGCCTACCTTCTTTGTGTAATTCATACTCTTACTCGAAATCAAGCCACTGAACGTGGCCCTCATTAAAATTATAATATATTTTTATCTCTTTTCTTATCAATCACACATTCTCCAATAAAATCAATTTTTTTTTTCTTTTTTAACCACACATTTTTCAAAAAAAAAAAAATACTATTTCAAAAATTATAATCTCAAATAATGAGAGGCAAACATGGCTTAACTCAAAGCAATCATAAAAATATACTTTAATTTGTGAGTAATTAAGCCACTCCTTTTAACTTTCAAGTGACCGTTAAAAGTATTGAGCTTTAGTCCCGAGGTATTAAAAATTATTTCTAATTCTTAATAACATTTTAATTATTTGAAGATCATTAAATAAATAAAATAATGCATACCAAACAACTAAAATTAAAAAAGTACCATATTATTTAATAATTTCTATAGCTAGCTAATTTTTAAGTTTTCAAAACTAGACAATTTCAAAGATTCATAACTATTATCCACATTTTTTTTTGTCTCGTTCTATTTTGATACTAGAAATGGACATAATAAAAATTAATTACAATCAAAGTTAGTAAGTGATTATGTATACGTGTATGTGTGTGGGTGGGTGGGTGGGGGGGGGAGAGAGAGAGAGAGTCAAATTTTGATATATCCATATATTTATTATTAGAGGTTCGACCCGAGTTATATCAATCAGAAAGTGTCTAGTTGGAACTAAATTAACTAATTTTCGAAAATTAAAATTTTTTTAGTTGTAGAAATTATTAAGTAATTAAAATTTTTATTATTTTAGTTATTTGATACCCATTATTTATTTATTTAATAGATTTAAAATAAATAAAAAATAATATTAAAAATTAACAAATGATTTTAGAACTTTGAAATTGAAGTTAAGTATTGTGATTGATCCATATTCAATGTTTAGTGATCAAGGGTGAAGTGTTAGACTTGACATATTGAATGGAGATGTTGCTACTTTTAATTGTCACTTTACAAATTCTGTTAAGAGGTTGAATAGAAGGTTGACGAAATGGCCTACTTGCTCGCAACAAATTAAAGTCCAATAACCTAATTGCAAATAAGGGTAATATTTGGTAACCACGTGTTTATTTTACCCAATTCTTAACCACTTGTTGCTCAATAAAATTATTTTTTTTGGACTTATTTTTAATTGACATTTTCTCAATAGGATGTTTCTAATTGTACATCAAAATTTTATATAAAGAATTATATAATATGATGTGAATGAAAATTATTGAATGAAAAACTTAATTGTATTTTAAATTGACAAATAATACAGTCACTCGTGGTGATATCTAAACAATTATGTAACATGTGGCACTTCCCAATAACAAATTTTACCCCACAAACTCTTCCATATTTTTAACCGACATGCTCTAATCATTTTTTAGTTCACCAAACAAGAACATGAGGGTACAAATGGCTGAGGGTTTATCTTCTGTTGCAGTGATTTCCACTTAACCTGTTCATCACCAAACTTCGAAGGTAGCATCGGATTTATTTATGTTGATTCCGCTCTCAATTTGATAGTTCTAAATGATTTTATTTCAACACAGTAGCTGGTACTCTGCCTTCAAATCTGGCCGCATCTGGGAACAGAAATAACAATTGCCGAAATTTGGGGTTTTTTGGAGGAGAGATAATTTGGGTGGACGGTCTTCGGCATTGTGGTCTTCCTGTTTATAATGGTTCTTCAATCCTGGCCATTTTATTGTTTACTTGAGGGTCGATCGGCTTGTTATAATTGTCTTGATACTCTCAGGTATTCTGTTGGAAATACCACCGGGGTTGGAGAAGAAACTCACCAAAGTGTGCAGCAACAATAGAAAAAATTGGAATCAAAATAAAAAGCCCAAACGCGTAATCGATGTCCTCAAACTATATTTGCCCCCACTCCAATAAATTGAGATGCTTAAGGATTTCCGGCAAATGGTTTGAAGGATTGATCAAGCCTTGTTGCAAAAAAATATCAAAGCACAAATTTTTTCCACCCAAACTTGAAGAACACAAAGGGGTTTTGAATATGAAGAAGAAAATATGATTTCTATTGCTATGGAATAAATAAGGTTGCAATAATGATTTTTCCATTATTCTCAAATGAGTAGGGATCACCTATTTATAGCCCTCAAGAGTTGTCCACGGAATGGTGCCAAAATAAGATGAAAAGTCACCAAGTTTAAAATGACAATGGTTATAAATGGACAAAAACTGCCAAAATTATGACCTATGCAACCGCATAGGTTTCTCAAAATCAGGACATTAAGTCCCTGTATAAGACTATGCGACTGCATAGTCCTTTGAACTATGCGTTCGCATAGTTCAAAACTTTGGACTCCATCCCCAATTTCCATTCCAAGCTTGATTTTATTATTTTGAAGAACCAATTTCAACATATTCTTCATATTGCTCTCTGGACAAGTAAATTTAACCTGATTCATCACTTAGGCCGTGTTTGATAGGCCA